GTAAATTGTAAGTGTAAATTCTCAATACTATAAGATAGTTATCCAAAGCATGAAATTCCATATACTGACAGAATGGGACATCCTAACCAAAATGAACTGCAGAAAAGCATTTAGAAATTTAGAAATTATGGTGTAATGAAGTTTTTAGATTTTTTTCCACTGTAGAATGTAGAATGCCTGTTTGATTTCCTATCACTGTGGGGGTTTTTAATTAGATTAGTTTGTATACTTGCTAATCAGAAATATGGAAATAAGCACTGAGTCTTCAGGTCATTCATGGAAATTAAAAGGTTCATCGCTTTAGAAAATAGAGAAAAATATTAAAAGTAAAGTACCATTCTTAATTACTAGCAAGAACTTAAATAAATATTATCAAAGATAGTAATAAACAATGGTTTCTTCAGTAATGAAGTTATTGTGTTGCTCAAATACCTGAATGCTGATTTTTTTCTTTTTTCTTTTATTTAGTTTTGGGGGAGTTTTTCTAAGGAATACAGCATCACTTTTTGTTTGATAAAATTGTCTTGTCTTCACATTCTCTATCTGAAAATATCTGAATGCATAATTTAGGAAAATTTTGCAGTTTTTAATTTTATAGAGTATAATTTAAATATATAAATTTATAATAATAAATGGGTCTGGTTTGTACTTGAATAATAATTTTTAAACATGGTCTCAGAAGTGGCCAAGTATTACTTCCAAGTATTATTTATATAGATATTAAATTTCCCTGTGAGTTACCATATATCCATTCTGCAGATGAACTGACAGTTTGAAATAATTGAGAAAGTGAAAATTAGAATGAGAGGGAGGTTGTCAGAATCAGTTCACACACTTGTTCACTAATATTTGTTGAATGCTTGCTGTTGGCAAGATACTGGACATATAATAGTGGATAAAACAGAACCCAGAAATCATGGAGCTAAGAAATAATTATTCAAAGCAATATTCACTTACAAACTGTGCTGTGTACTCTGAAAAACAAATGAAGGCTACTAAGAGAAGTCTTAACATGAGCTTAATTTAGATTGGGGCTTGTCAGTGAAGGCTTCTTTAAAGATATGACAGAATAAATTACCTAAAAGAGGTGTCAAATTTATCCAGGCGAAGAGTTGGTGCTGGGAAATTCCAGTCTGAGAAGAGCACATATGGGAGAATGCTGAGGTAGGAAAGCGCTTGGTGAGTTTCAGGAAAAGATTAGTGTGACTTAAAATACAATGAAGGGTGGAGGGTGGTGCAAAATGAGGCTAGAGAGAGAAGCAAGGGTTATATCATGCAAGGCTTATGACCATCCTAAGAATTTTGTATTTTATCTTAAGTACAAGAGGAAACCATAGAAGAATTTGGAGTAGGAAGTCACATGATCATATTTGTGTCTTTTAAGTATTCTTTGGCTGCTATGTAGAGAGTGGATTGGAAGTAAGCAAGAGAGGAAATGGGCAGCATATTTAGGAGCCTAGGCTAGAAGGCTATGGAATAAAGTGGTAGATTAGACTAGGGTGATGATGACAATGATAGAAGTGGAGAAAAGGGGATAGATTTAAGATATGTACTGGAGGTAGAACTGATAGGATATGATAAGGGACTGGATTTAGGGGAGAATGAGGAAACGTGTCAAAAATCACCTCTGTCTTTTTGACACAGCAACTAGTTGGTTGATGATTGATATTGTCATTTAATGACATGGAGGAACCCCAGGAAAGAGCACATCTGGCAGAGCTGAGAGGTGGAGATGAAGAGTTCAATTGTGAGACTGATTAATCCCACTTGCGTTCTAAGTATTTAATTTCCATTTTACAGTAACATAGCCATATTCCCCAGTCTTTTCAGTCCATGTCCTCCAGGGAAATCTTGATATAGATTACAGAATTCCTGAGCTAAGATGCTACTTTCAATCAAGGATTAATGAAAAGAATAGAATAATTAACTATTTAAGCTAAAATGTCTACCATTTTAGACTTTTGCTCCAGATTTCAAAATAATATGTGCTTAATTTCAAATTAAAAGATCTGGAAAAGAATAGTCAGTCAAGAGTTTAGCCTGATGGCTAAATCTTCTAAAACATGATAGTCTGCTTTCTAGAACATTCTACCTGCAATCTTAGCCCAAACTTTTCTATGCTATAAGATTTCAAGTGTTCTCTCTGGTATTGAATGCAAATTTGTGGGCCAATTTATGTTGCCTTTATCTAAAATTCATTTAAAAGAGACCTCCCACTAACTCAGTTTCAGTGATTCACAGGCTGGAGCCACATGGCACTGGTTGAGAGCATTTGGACAGATCAGAAAGGAAGCAGGCCCAAGAGGGATAGTGGGATAGAAGTCACAGAAGCCTCATGAGAGGGAATCCCCAAATCTATGGTGAAAATAGGAAAAAGGGCCCATCCCTTTTACTGAAGAAAGGGTGGCCCAGTAGTTTTATAATTTCCACATTATAGCTGAGTAATAGGATCATAGCTTATAAAAAATAGAGGCAGTGCAGTAATGACAATAAGAAATGACATTCACTGAATGTGTATCATGTTTCAAGAACTACACTAAATGCTGTCCAAGTATTATATTATTTAATTTCCTCCAAACCCCTTTGAGGTAAGTACTCTTATGACTAGCGTTTTAGAGAACAGGACAGGAGGCTTTGAGGTCTTAGATCATTCTCCAGAGGCCACACAGGTGGTAAAGGGGAGAAAGAAGTAGCCAGATATGTTTGACTCCAGAAGTGGAGTTTTCCGCCGCTGTGCCACACTGCGCCAGCACACGAATACAAGATGAGAACAAAAAACTCAGTATTTCTTTAGTGTTCAAAGCTAGAAAGAAAAACAAAAATTGTGTATACACTTGCTCTCAAATATTTGTTCTAAAGTAAGGGAAATGTTTCTGCTGTGCTGGACCATCCTCTTCTTACATGGTGTTCCTGAAGACATAGCTGACCACTCACAGGCTTTTAAAACTACCTTGGGCTTTCTATCAGCACAATTTCTTACAAATTTGGAGATATTTGAATTTTATAATGTAGTTCCTGTCATTGGGAATTTCATCCTTGCTTCTTCCCATACACTTTAAAAAAAATGTTAACCTGTCATTGTTAATTTTTTTCTTTAAATTTCTATGATTGAAATTCATTTTCTTTCATCTGGTCCATTACCACTGCAGCCCTGTTCTTAAACCACTTTAGGGGAATATTTCACTGACCTTTTCTAACACAAAGTATGTGTTGGTAAAAGATTCTTAGTTGAAAAAATTGCATTAGTTTGAGTTTTTAAAAACCAGTAAAAAAAAAAAGGCAGTGAGATATTTCAATTCAATTTATAGTGAAATTCTAAATGATATAATAATAATTTCCTAATTATGGTAATTTCTACAAAGATGCAAATAAAATGAGGAATGTGAAACTTTTCCTCTCACCCTTCAAAAACACATGTATGGTCCACTCGAACTCTAAGACCACTCACTGTCTTTGTCACAGCAACAGTGTGGCAGCTCCCCTTTCCAGCATCCTCAACTACAGCTGACTGAGTTGAGTTTTGAATGATGAACAGAGTTTACAAGATAAGAGGAAAGGAGCATTCCAACTGGAGAGACAATGTGTACAGTGTACAGCAGAGACGTGAAGGGAATCATCGGAAATTGGGGGTAGGGAGGATGAATGCTGAAAGGAGATGAGGCTATGTAGGTTGGCTGGGACCAAATTTTGGGGGCCTTTTGTGCTGCGTGAAGGAATCTGACAGATACTTAGGTAATGACAAACCTCTGGCAACCCGTTCTCCTTCTGTGTTCAGCTGCTTCATTCCCTTCCTTCACCTCCTGTTACTGTTTAGGTTGAAAGACAAAGCTAACCATACCTCTTCCACTTTTTCCAAATCCATTCGTAGCATATTTCGACAATTCAGTGCCTTTAGCAGCTGGATACTGTGGTTCTCAGTATGTGAAATTGCCCTTTGGCAAGAAGAAAAGCCGTGACTAATTCAGAGGAAGCCCATGTGGGTGGAACTTTTGAGATGATAAAGCAATTGAAAAATACGGAGAGAAAAAATAAAATATCATTCAGGAGAAAAAATGCGAGTCTGCTACTGAAGCCAGGGCTGTTCTTTTTATAAAAGACACATTTCATCTTTTATGCTTGGGCAATTTCCCACATTTCATCTTTTACGCCAAAGAGACTGTATCGGGATTAATAGACCATCTCAAATGAAGAACAATCACAATTATACAAAGTTGTCCCAAGCCCCCTCCAAAATAATCCAGATGTCACATAGATTGATTTTTGGAATTTATAGACCTAGTCAGGACCAACTGAATAGAATAAAGTTATGTGCGTGTGTGTGTGTGTGTGTGTGTGTGTGTAACTTTGAAACTATTTCTTTAAACTGGACTCATTTTATGTACAAAAGCTCGACTTCCAGTCAACTAGGTTTCCACATTATTTGGCTCTTTCAGTACCTTCTACTTTCACTATAACCAGGGCTCTGACTTTAAAGAAAATTGCTCTATAAAATTTTACCACATTTTCTAATTGAAAGTGTGTGATTTTCCTAAGGCAGGGAACATTGTCTATCACTGGCCCACATGCTGAGGGACCAACAGAAATGTGGCAGAATTGGTAGAAACTGGGCAACAGGCAAAATAAAATCCTGTTATCAGGCCTAGTCAACTCGGAACGTGTCTATCCCTCTAATAAATGTTAGTTTTATTGTGTGGGGTGCACTGAGTGTTGTTTGTATCAAGTATTTGTCATTGACCTTGTTGAAATATGAGTCAAGAACAGGTGGCTGTGACAGGATGCACTGAATGCAGACTCTTTCACATCATATGTCAAGACCGGTGGAATGGCTATCAGGCTTCACGAAGTCTAGAGGTCTTAATATTTATCACTTTAATTTTACCGTACAATTAAGTAATGATGGATTTAAATAAATGTATCTATAGTACATTTGAAAATCCTGGGGTAAAAACAGGATCAAGATAAACCTTTCCACATTCTAACTAACATTTGCTTGGTTTTAGGAGCATGGCATTCCCACTGACATGGGCTACGCCGTGGCCCCTCACCATTCGGGCGTCTACCCTGTCCATGTTCAGCTTTACGAGGCCTGGAAGAAGGTCTGGAATATTAGAATCACCAGCACAGAAGAATATCCACACCTGAAACCAGCTAGATACCGGAGGGGCTTCATCCACAAAAACATCATGGTGAGCTTCCTCCAGGACGCACGGGGTATAACTGATTCTGCCAGACTTACGTTCCTCATTTGAAGAAAGAACAAAAGAGAAGAGCAGAATGTTAAAAGCTTAACTGTAGGAAAATCTTCATGCTACAGGAAGCATACTTGTCATATCTAAGCAAAGAATGTTTTAATTAAAGTCACTTCTTTTCAATTCTTCAAATATAACTTAAAAATGTTTTTTACTGACACTACTGCTGTGAAGCAGGCACTGATGTTAAAATACTAAGGAAACATTACATCTAACTTGCAGATAATTTATAGAAGCCGTCATTTCTTCAAAAGTTCCTTAGTCTGTAAAACTAACACCAACTCTCTCTATATTAACCATGCTGCTCTTTTGCAAGCCAAACTGTGTTCTTCTCTTTACCGTGTTAGGCTAAGAAAAAACTCAGCTATTTACAGCAAGAAGCCACGTGTGAAGTCCTGCATAATCATTAACAGATCATAATAAGGAGCACAAATGAGAGAGGATGTTAATTTAATCGTTTATATCCATTGTCGAATTCTCTCCAAAGCTTCTCTATTTTGTTTTGTTTTGTTTTGTTTTTTTACACTGGTGACTAGTGTATATTGTCAAGATATGTTATTATCTAATACTTTGTGAGACCTCCCAGAGTAAGTAATCAAATCCTAATTTCTCCCCAAATCAGAAAATCCAAAGAGTACTAGTGAGGTCAGGAACGGGCCTCCTGATTTAGGCCCACCCTGGGAGGAACACCACGCAGAAGAACACTCTGTGCTAAGGCACCATAACTCACCGTCAAACTATGTTTGAACAGATGTCTCCCCTCTAGAATTAGGTGTGACTGACTTCTTTTCAGACAGTTTTCTAATGTCTGCAAAAAATACAGAATACATAATGACATTTAACTTGGATCAACTCCCATCTTCACTTTTCCCTCAATAAAAATTGTTGTAAATGCTAGATGGGAACATAATGGCCACATTTTATCCCAATCTGCCCTTCCTCTTTACTGAAAATGAACTCACTGTGCCTCAAGCTGCCAGCCATTTGACCAGAGAGAGTTTAGAAGACCTGGTTATATTATAATTTAAAAACATTCAATACTCTCCTGTCATTTTCAAATCATATACAGTCTCAGTAGAATAAAACTTAAGTCTCTAAAGACTTTATTCAATCTTGTTCTCCTTTCTTTATGTTTCTCTCTGTACTGTCAGAAAACGTCCTTGGTTATGTCCCATGAGGTATGTTCATTTTTTGTTTTTCCTGAAAACAGATTTTACCTGTATTATAAACGCCTGAATCTTGCAGGTAATAAAGGCTCTAACAGATTTCCTGTTTTGACGGAACTGTTCCTGTGGTTCCACTTTTGCAGCAATCCCTGGAAACCCTCTATATTTGCTTTGTGGGCTCTTGGATGAGAATGTGCAGTTGAGAAATGTTCAGCAGGCAGTTGATTATGCCGTACGAGAGAGAGGACAGGGCTCGGTGTCATCCAAATAGAGTTGCGAGTTGATACCACAAGAGCCAATATGTCCTCCTCGGGAGAGACTGCAAAGGGAAAAACAGCAGGGAACTGAGGAGTGACCCTTACTTAGATCACACCCATATTTTTTGTGAACTGAGGAAAACTTTGTTTTTTTAATGATCCATTCACAAATCAAACTCATAAGGTCTTAAATGAAACTCATTATCTTCTCTTCAAACCAACTATTTATCCTGCTATCCCTAATCCATTTCTGAAATTCAACCATCACACTGAACCCCCGTGTCCAATCGGTCTCTACATTCCATCAATAATTCCTTTATAATAATTTTTTATTACCCTTCCTTTCCCAGAGCCTAATTCCCTCCCTTGACTTCCGTGTATCAACTGTGGTGCTGCTTCCTACTTTGTCTATTTACAGCTTCCATCCATTCCCCACTGCCATCTATCCCCTAGACAGTGCCAACCTTTTAATCTTTCTAAAGTGCTGCCTTAATCTTGGCCTTCCTAACCTTGATAATAACTTCTGAGTGTTTCCACACCTCTTAACCTACTCTTCGGGGACCTGAAAACAGTTTGGACTCAGTCTACCTTTCTATCTTCTATTCCCTGGAGCTAACACAAATTCACTGCAGCCAGAAAGGTCTACAACAGTATTGCTATGTCCATGTCTTTGTCATCATTTCCACCTTGAAAGACTGTCTGACCACTCTCTACCCATTCCTATTCCCTTTATTCCTCAATATCAACTCCCTTATCTTATGTAATTTAATATAAAGCCCCTTGGTGAATAGCAGTTCAATACCTAACTCAGGTCTACTCTGATCTTATTCTCCTCTGAATTCCTATAACACATCATCTTGTAACTCCACCAGGAACATAAAGCCTACTACGTTTCAAGGTGTTTGAGCCCTAACCAGGGTCTCTGAGCCTCCAGTCCTGTTGCATTATCTACTGGGCAGTGTTTATCTTCATTCAGCAAGGATCTGATGGAAAACCAGGACTCTCTACCCTAACTCCTGGTTGTTAAATGTGGCTCTCTGGGGAGAGCCAGACACCTATCTCTCTCAAGCAATAGGACTACAGACCCTGATTATCTACTTACTGTTTCTAATGGAGATGCCCATTGGTAGAGACTCCCATTAACCCTGCTGGCAGCCTCCTAGGTGGTCTTTACTGGTAGCTCCCAGAAACATTTGTTGGCAGTTGCTCCAGGTTTAGGCCGTAGGTACAGGATATTGGCTTTAGGTCCCATTGGCTAAGATTCTTGTTAACTATGGTTTTCGTAACCATCTCCCAGTTATTGTCAACAGCTATAAGGTTCCCAGGGACTCGTCAATGTCTTAAAGTTTGAATTTGACAGTGTTTCACTCCCAGAACCAGTTCTAGAGGGCAGCCCACAGCAGAATGCCTAAAAACTCTCTCATTCCTTCTCTAACATAAGAGAGCTGCTTCAAGGAACATGTCCAGTGTCCTGTAGCATTGTGTTCAGGGAGCAAGACAATGAACTATGACCCTATCACACTCCAGTTATCTCCTCAACCTCCTGTGGTTGTCCTCGGGCCATCTGAGGGCTCGTGGTGACTCTTATGCTCTCAGCAGGTGTGATCCTCCCCAGAGTTGCAGGGTGAAGCCTGGCACTTCCTCTTCCCTGTGTTCAAACTCAAATAATTTGAGAAATAGACAAAACAAATTTCTTTTCACTTCTCTCTCCACTTTACATAGAATCAGCTATGCAATCAAGTCTCAAAGATGGCTCTGTACGTTTCCATAGTTTTTCAAGCAAGATATTCAAACTGAAGCCTAAAAGTGATTCAGAATCATGTACTTTTAAAATGTAAAACTAACGTGGTATTTAATCACATTTGGACATTTCATTACTTAGCATTTGGGTATTTCTCTTTACCCCAATGTACCTTAAATCCTTTAAGAGTTCTCCCACCTGGACTTGCATAGACTTTACAATAAGTATTTGTTAAATAAATGAATAAACACTATATAAAGCTTTAATTTCCAAGAAATTACATTTCCATGAATTTTTAGGGAATACATTTAATTCAATTACAATACTTTTGCACTTAGTTCTTTTTTTGTCGTTTATGTTGTGCATAACATTATGAGAATGTATAATGCTTTTAAACATAGATATCATCAGGGCTAATACTCTGCAATTAAACTGAAGTTCTTTTAACTATTTCATCAAGATATAATAGCTTCTAAGGATATAACTTTTACCAATTTACCAAAATAAATAGGATATATAAAGTTTCGATTCACACAGCAATGTGTGATGTATTGATTGAGCTGAGAATTATGTTTTCTAAGAACACTCTCCAAGGACTAGATTGAAATTTATTATAATACACATTCAAACTAAAGAAAAACAACTAGTGTATTTGTAAGAGAGTTGCAAAGCATGGGAAATCCTGTACAGGTAATATTTTGAAAGCACTTACTGAACCAAATGTGCTTTAAGAATAAGGACAGAAAAAATGAAGATCAATTTGCTTAGGACAATAAACAGAAGACCTGCCTGTGTAAGATTCTGTAAAACTTGTAGCTTTCTACAACATATTCACTAATTTTATGCTACTTCAAGTGTATAGTAATAAACACAAGTCATAAAGAAGTAATTATAAAAGATTTAGCTAAAGATTGTACCATCTTGCACAGCTTCAGTTCACACCTTCTTTTATAATTGCAATGATATTTTAGCAGGAAAGCTGTAAGAATTTGAAAAAAAAAAGTCCTTATCACAAATGTGTATCATGTAAGCAAATAATGGCTTTTATATACAAAGGGTGACAAGAAGACTTTTTACTAAGTGACCTTTTATCATTTTGTTTGTGTCACTTTATAAAAATTACTAACCAAATGCATAATCTCTTGCTCACTTTTGGAACTGGCAGGCCTCAGACTTAGAATTTGGGGCAATGACTATAGCCTGCAGTAGTCCTATCAGAATAGAGCAGACGCTATGATTTGTATCTCAAATATTTGGTCTAATTTAAAATGTCATTTCCTACCAATCACATTAGGTTAATAATCGACTTCATTTTCTAATGCATGGAGACTTTGGCAGAAAGCATCAGCCTTAAAACTTTTGCCTACTAGAATTACAATGCAGCATAGACAATTCCAGTATTTTTAAAGTCTCATTTTTACTTCTTTTTTATTTCTTAAGATGCTGCAACATACTAGGCTTCATAATAGAAGTACTGACTTGGAGCTTTAAAATAGATAAGTGGCTAAAATAATTTAAATCTTAGTTTTAAAATATTTCTCTGACTTTCGTCAGTATTCCTTCTGTACTGATGTCATCCTTGCTTTCTCAGATGTGAAGGGTTTTCTGAGCTTTAGTTAAGAGCTGAACAACCACACCAGCTTGTGCATCATCTTCCATCAGAAAAAAGCTAAGTTTCAACAAATTAATTGGTTGAAAGGAACTTTTTCCTTACTTTTTCATTCTTCCTTCAGGTTCTTCCAAGACAAACCTGTGGGCTTTTCACTCACACAATTTTCTACAAAGAGTATCCGGGAGGCCCTAAAGAGCTGGACAAGAGTATCCAAGGAGGTGAACTTTTCTTCACGGTGGTCCTCAACCCAGTAAGTACTTTGAGTTCTTCTCCAAATGAGAAATGACAGGGTGGATGAAAAGTAACCTGACAAAGAGGCCAGGCTTTGGGTAGTTAGCAGCCAAACCAATAGAAATGGGGGCAAACTAATTCTGCAAGCAGCAGTGACATGAGGAACTTACGGCAGAGCCAAGGAAGTGCTCCAGGGGACCCTCCTCTGCGCTGGAAGGCGATCAGAATTCAGAGATTCCTGCTGTTATGGAGAATCAGATTTTCACCTATAAAACTTTCCTATTCCCGCTGGGGACTAGTTTTTTCGTTTAGGTAACTATTACCTCTATTCTTCTTCTTTTTTTCCTATTTAAAGTCAAAGAATAAGCAAAATGGGAGAGGAATTAGACAGGCAAACACGGTCGTTTGGGGTACGCTCATGTTAGATCTTGTCCTGCTGGGTCGCAGGCTGGGGCCGAGCAGCCTGTGGAATGGGCTGCTGCTCTCCTACCCTCGCTTCCTGATGCTGCGTGCCAGCTCCACCGTGGCCAGTCGTCCACATGTCTGCTCCAGGCGAGTATTATAAAGCTGTGGAGAGGAAGAAGAACTAACTGGAGTAAAGTGTACAAGGAAAAGAAGGGATTTTATTTGCCTTCTGAAAATCGCTAACATAAAAAGTAAAGGTAGGTTTATTTATCAGGAGATGTATGAGTTTGCCCCCGGCGTCAGCAATATTCAAGATGAAAATAATGTAATTTTCCAAATGTGAAAAAAATTATATCAGCATAAAAGTTGGATAAGATGGGGATAAAGAGAATAAAAATTGAAGGACTCCTCTTGACCTTCATCTTACAAGTCTGGCAAATAAAATTGCAGGTGTTTTTCATCGTCTGCTTATATTCAATAACTGTGTCTATTTCTCAGCTCCTAGAAAATGAGCTAGAAGTGACAGTAACTTGTCTTTGGCAAAATCAGCATGTGTATCCAAAAATCAGGGTAGTTTGGGGGTAGTGTGGCATTTGGCCTTTTGGAAGTTTATCAACCTTCATATCCCAAAATATAAATAATTCTCATTTATACATCAGAAATAATGTGATTCTTCTAACTTGTCTATTCTTTACAAATGGAAGTATCTTTGGAATCATCTCATATGGCTTTCTTCTCTTTTTTCTCAATTGAGCCATAGGCAAAAGAGTTAAATCAATGCTTGATTATGAACTGAAGACTTAGTTGAAATATTCTTAATATGCTAATACATTCACCAATAATTTTAAGACCCTTTAATTTGTAATATATAAAATTCTGATGTTTTACGTTTCCTTTCATCATAGAGCAATAGGACTGTGAACAGATAATTGTCTATTTGATTCTCTTAACCAATATTTCCTTGGGGGCGTAAGAAATTCCTAGTGGTATTATAATTTCAGAACTTTCTAGACCAAATTAGTTTCATTTAACATGGAAGAAATTCAAAATTAGATCATTCATGTACAATAGATTTATAAGAATTATTTTATTTTTCACTAATTAAAAAAATCCTTTTTTTAATTGATAAAAAAGTCTTGTAGGAAAGCTTGTGTTAATCCTGGATACTAATTTGGATTAAATTAACTGAACAAACTCTTTAAGTGTTTACCAAACTTTGCTACTTTTCAGGCCTTTTTCAATAATATTTGGCAATTTTGTCTTGATGAGGAGATTCACAGGGAACAAAGGGGAGAAAAAAACTTGTTCACAAAGCTTGTTCTTTCCTGATTCAGAAAACCACCAGTAGATACTTATTTTCAGATAAATGCTGGGATTCGAAATAAATGACAGATCTTGTCAGACACGATAAGAAAGGCAAGGAATCCAAATTAACTTCATCTGGCATGCCCGCTTCAATTTTTGGATGCAATTGTAGTTCCCTGGAGATTTGTGGTTGAGAAGCCCACTTCTAGACTCAGCCCAAGTCCTACCCAAGAGAAGTCTGCTGTCATTGTTAGTGATGTTGGTCTGGCAGAATGGAGTGAGGAGTGGTGGCCTGTTTCTCATGAATTCTCCATCCCAAAATTAAGTGTTTGCATGAAGTTTGTGTTAAAATTCAGAAAGGTCCAGGTGTGGTGAGGCATTCTAGTGATGTAGGAGAAGACATGCTTTTTTAGGTCAGAATGAGAATGAGAAAATCTTGATGGAATCAAAGGTGATGTTAGCTGCAAGAAATATGAATTTTACTTATAGTGGATTTGAAAGATAGCCATTGTAAGCTTACGTAATACCCCAGGCCTGAGTGGAAGTGCCATTTTCTGAGAATGCTGAATAAGGTGGTTGTTTGCTCCAAAAAGGTAGATGTGTATTAGAAATATATCTATGATGCTTAAATATATTCAAACACACTTGAGTTGAAAATGAAAATATAAGCAGAATCTTAATTAATGTGTTTTTAAATTTTTCTTCCTATATATCAACATAATATCCAGTGGATACAGTAACTTCTGATGTGGGTCGGATGCAGATGTTTTGATTAATAGACTTTGAGGTTTAGATGCCATTGGGAGGTGGGCCCATCAGGCTCTCTGAGCCTGGGACCGTTAAGAATTCAATTCTTCTAATTATTTTTCTGATTCTAAACTCAACTAGCAATTTCCTGTCTATAGTTTGTTTTCCCATATAGATCCTACTATAGGAAAAGAATATGTTGATCATAAGAACTTGTACTCACTGGGCCAGTAATTTGTAATATAATGTTATAAATCTTTTTTCAATTGGTAAATACTTCCTATATAACCTGACTACCATGAGAAGACCCTCTAATTGAACAGATTCTAATATTTCAGTTCTTCTATAATTTACAATTCCCTGTTTTAAACTAATAGATGATATTCTGTTTTTATTTATCAGTTTCATGGTCTTTGCTAATATGATTCTGCCCCTGGACACTCTCTGTCAGTGTACTGAATCAGGTTTGAGAGCCTGTCAGACTGAGGAACAGACCCTGAAGTGTTTGTTGATTGATCCAGGAGGGTAATGAGAGTTACCTTATGGATACACCAGGGGAGAGAGCCACTACAGTTATCCCAGAGTCAGTGTTAGCTACAGACATACAAGCGCAAAATTTCTACACAAACATGTAATACTCCCAGACACAAATATTCTTGATCAATTCACAATGCTACAGGGTACTCTCATACATACTTTTAAAAATGTGAGAGTCTACTTACTTTACGTCCTTATATAAAATAATATGTAGAGTGGTACTAGAACTCATACTTAGGAAAATGACAAAGGTTCATTGACAGTGACTGAACCTGCCCTCAATAAAAAGAACCCTATAAAATTTAAGACATATATACTTATATGGAAGGAACTAGTAAGAGTATACTGTCCATTTTAACGTGAGTTTCCAGTTCCACCTATCTCAGGAAGATGTGATAATACTTAACTAGTGTGACGAATGGAGTAGTTCTGGTTTAGACACAATTATTCCTCTTACAGGAGCCATATTATCTTCTATTGCTGTGAAAAAAGATGTCACCTTCCTGCTCCAATGTTCTTACTTCTAATTACAAAATGTCCTGAGTCTTTGCTTGTGCTCTTGTTCAATAAACAGACTCTAGTTATTGACATTAACAATTGATATCTGTGGAGCGCTTGCCTGCCTCCAACATGCCTGATGATAAAGACAGGGCTTGCTTTACTTATTAAGCCAAAAGATTTGTGGATTGCCACAAGAATCATGCTCTTACCACACTTGCTTGGAATTCAAGTGGAGCAAATCCTTGACAGCATAGCAATAGTATACTTCACTCATCAAACTGTTAAAATCCCATACAAACAGTAGCTAATCCCTTTATCCCATATTTTATTGAATACTTTTTGTCTCTGTTTCTCAATTTGATAATGCAAGTATCCACCATACCTTCCATCCCCTCCTCCCCAAATCCCTGAAAGCTAAATCTAAGTTGTATTTCTTTAATTAAAGAAAATTCAAACATGGATGTGAATAGATTGAGTGTATTAAACTGGAAGTAACACATAAGTGGATTATAATGAAAGTAAACACAAAATTCACACAAGGAGATAGTCTGTATAAATAGAAATTAACCCACGTTGAAATTTTTTTTAAAAACTATAATTTACATGTGTAGGGGTTATGTGTGTTTATCTATAAAATTCATCTAAAAGGAAACAACATTTTTTCCTCATGGGAAATTTTATGTTCCTTTCTTTTCTTATTTACTAATCCTGGAAAACATTATGTTAACAGAAAACCCTTTATTGAAAAGTAAATAAATGATAGTAGTAAAAACAACAACTTTGGATAGTAGAAAAATGATTCCTGAACATGCCTTATAATGAGTACTACCTGGAACACTCGATTGAAAAAAATTCAGACTTCAGGGCTGGCCCGGTGGCGTAGGGGCTAAGTTTGCATGCTGCACTTTGGCGGCCCAGGGTTTGCAGGTTCAGGTCCCAGGCGTGGACCTACGTACAGCTCATCAAGCCACGCTGTGGCAGCGTCCCACATACAAAATAGAGGCAGATGGGCACGGATCTTAGCTCAGGGCCACTCTTCATCAAGCAAAAAGAGGAGAATTGGCAACAGACATTAGCTCAGGGCCAATCTTCCTCACCAAAAAAATCCAGACTTAATGCATCAGAATCTCCAGGGGACAGTTGTGGAGATCTGCATACTTATCATGAGCTTTAGGTGAGTCTTATGATCAGGCAAATTTGGGAAATACTGCAGAGGAAGAAAATGGAGAAATAATTTTGGTAATCAAAGATTACCAAAAACTGCTATAGAAATTGTGGATTTATGATCAGAGTATCAGAATTGAAAATGAGCCCAAATCTGCAGTGGGGTTTTAAAAAATCAATGAGAATAAATGTTTTTCTTAGTGACCAGAGAACTCTAGCTTGAACTGGAGTTTAAAATTGAGGTAACTTCTGTTTATTCTCTAAAACTGAGTTTAAGGGTCACCTTCCTCAGGAAATCACCTCTCCTCTGGTTTAGAGACCCCTCCTTGTGCTCCCACAGCATCCTCTGCAGACTCTTTC